TGGTAGGAGCGTAGCTGGGCCGATGAGGTTCACCCAAAAAAATTTGAAATTGCATGGGAAGATTCAGGAACGTCAAAGCGTGGGTGCGAAACGCCATTCAGTTACTAAGGAGCTTAAAATTAGGAAAATGTGGGTCCCAGTGAGGCGTTTCTCGGATCCTGCTACAATGCCGGTTTTCTCAGAGGGGATGACTTTGGTCAAGGCTTTTAAGTGTGGTATTAGTTCGACTACGCTGGACCTTGTGGGTACACCAGTTTCAGATACAAATCATAATGAATCAATGAGGCGGTGCGAAATAAGTACGTGGCAGAAGGATGTAGGAAAGATGTGGGGAATGTAATATTTGAAAATCTCCTCTTTGGGAAGGTTGAAGCGTAGGAATTGAAGAAAGCCTTTTACTCTCGATCGGTGCTGGAATTTCTGTTCACAACAGCATTAAAACAGCTAGCGGGTGTTTTGCTTTGTGCACTTTTCATGGCGGATCGATTGAGGTTTCTCCCTAACTGTAAAGGTGCGAAGAAGAGGACTAACTTGAGGCGAAAATGCGCTTTAATCCTTTGATGGTAGATGTACAGGCGGCCATTCCTATAGAGGTCTCTAACAAGGATACATAGGATTTTGTTATTGACTTACCGGCGTCGGTGATGGAGGAGGATGGCTTTGAGGTTGAAGATGCTAGGTCTTTTGATTCGCAGTCTGCTTTGGTGCTTTTTGAGCCTATTACTCCCCTTGCTACTGTGCCCGAAGTAGCCACATTGCTGGAAGCTATGGATGGAGATGCTCAGTATGACAGACTTGAAAAGGCTCTTTATCGGGTGGTTCGTGAAGATATGGGACTTGATTATGATGTCCCTATTGCTAAGGTTTGCCAGGCAATCAAAGAGAAAAAAAGCAAAGAAGCGAGCTGCTAAGGAAGTGCAAGCGTCGGGTAAGAACGTTGTGGAGGATATGGAGGCTAACATTGATTTGAAGGTGCTTGAGGCTGTGATGGCTGAAGAGATGCAGATGCAGGCTACAGATATAGTGCAGAATGAGGTTACCGAGAAGTCTCCAGACACTGTTCTTCGCAATGGCAAGTAAAGGTGATGCAAAAAGCTAAGGAAAAGAAGTCGACTGCTCCTTTCAATTATTCAAGTAGACTGAGGTCTAGGGGCGCATTGATGATCAGGGAGTTGAATGCTTATGCTCCAATTGCAGTGAGTTTGGAGGAGTCTACTTCTGATGATGATGAAGGTGATGCTGTGCTCGAAGCACCTTCTCAAGGGCCTCACAGTGAAGGTCCAGGTTCTTCTTCCAATAATTTTTGATGATTATTTTGAACTGGAATGTTAGAGGTTTATGAGATCCTAGTAGGAAAAAGGATGTTTTATTTTTGGCTAGGAAGTATAAACCAGTTTCCCAGACCTTCTGTGATAGGTGCTCGGGGAGTCTGGGGCTCTGGTTCTTTGTGTTTTGAGGGTATCGATTTTGTTGGGGCATCGGGTGGGCTATGGGTGTTGTGGAATCCTTAGATTCTGCAAAGTTTTGAGGTTTTAAAGGGGGGTAGATAGTTAGCTATACTCTTTAATGGTTCTGAGTCTGACTTTTTGTGGGGTCTTTTGAATGTTTATGGTCTAAACAATGTTGATCTCAAAGCTGGGTTTCTCAATGAGTTATCGGGGGTTTTAACTCGGTTTCAATTTTCATTTTGTGTGGGGGTGATTTGATTTTAATTCGGTGGCCTAAGGATTCTTCCTCAGGAGGCCGGATTAACCCTACTATGAGATTATTTAATGGTTTATTCAAAACCATGGCTTGGCGGATTTACCTTTGTTAGGAGCTTCTTTTACCAGGACCAATAATAGTTCTGGGAATCTTATCATGACCAATATTGATAGGTTTTTGGTCTTTAATGATTTTTTGGAAAGGTTTCCTTTAGCATCTGTGATAGCCTTGCCTAGACCATCTTCATACCATACACCTCTTCTTCTTCGGTCCAAGTCTTCTCTTAGAGGTCCAAAGCCTTTTAGACTGGAGATTGGTTGGTTGGATGAGAGGGTGTGATTGATCTTATTAGGAGGACTTGGGAGAATGCGATTACTTTTGGGTCCATGGATTTTCAGTTGCACAAAAAATTGTTATATGTGAAGCACAAGCTGCTTGAATGGAAGAAGGAAAATAAGTATCAATTGGGGGTTAAGATTGATAGTTTTTTGGAGGATATTAAGGGGATAGACCAAACTGTTTAGATTGGAGGTGTTTACTCTGAGTTACTAACTAGTGAGAGAATTGGGAAAATTAATACTCTGAATGTACTCCTTAGGTTGGAAGAAATTTATTGGCGACAAAGGTCTCAAGTCAAATGGCAGAAACAGGGTGATCTGAACACAGTTTTTTCATTCTATTGCCTGTGCACGCAGGTGGCAAAGTGATCTCTCAGGTCTTACGATTCAAGGAGTAATGCAGGAGGATATCGGTAGTCGCAATTTGGCGATAATTGAGCATTTTCGAAAGGCTTTTTCTTCGAAAGTATACCCTACCCCTAGAATGAGTCGTATTCCCTTTAAAATTATTTCAGAGACAATTGCAGTACCACTTGAAGTTGAGGTCTCAATGGAGGAACTGAAATTGGTTGTTTTTTCGTTGGCAGGAGATAAGGCACCAGGACTTTACGGCTTTCCTATGTGTTTTTTCTATAGGTTTTGGTCTATGTTTTCAGAGGAACTTTTCTGTATGGTATGGAGTTTTTTGGATAGGGGAGAAAATTTTAGAGGTGTTAACTCTGCTTTCATTGCTCTCATCCCAAAACATTTGTTATTAAGGAGCTCTCAGATATTAAACCTATTTCGTTATTATCTAGTCTGTATAAAGTTGTAGCAAAGGTGCTGGCTATGCGGTTGAAAAGAGTATTGAACAATGTTATTTCTGGTCCCCAAACAACTTTTATTCAGAATAAACTGATTACTGATACTGTATTAATTGCTCAAGAATGTATCCACTTCAGGACTCAAAGCAAGGGACCAGGGGTTGTTATTAAACTGGATATGGAAAAGGCATATAATAGAGTAGAGTAAAGCATTCTAATAGAAATTTAAAATGCATGGGGTTTGGTGAGAAATGACATAATTGGATTTATGGATGCCTCTCCTTGGCACATTTTTCGATTCTTATTGATGGTTGCCCTAAAGGCTTCTTTAAATTCTCTAGAGGTCTTCGTCAAGGAGACCCTTTATCGCTATTTTTATTTACCATTTATGCAGAGTGTTTTAGCCTGATGATATCTAATGTGGTAAACAATAGTAACTTCGTTGGTTTCTAGGTAGGGCAGAATGACCCTTACATTTCTCATCTACAGTATGCAAATGATACATTTATTTTCACAGAGGCAAAGAAGGAGTACATTAAATTTCTTGGCAGGTTCCTAAAGTGTTGTGAGGTGGCGGTTGGTTTAAAAGTGAACATTGCAAAAACATCAACGGTGGGTATTAATTGCTGTAGTGCGCTGACAGAAGAACTTGCATTGTTGCTTGAATGTAGAGTGGACAAATTTCCCATAACTTATCTGGGACTCCCAATTTCTGATTTTAAGCTTCTTAATTCAGAATGGGATAGAGTAATTCAACGAGCTCAGACTAAACTGGATCTATGAAAGCCAAAATATTTATCACTAGAGGGAAGAATGACTTTGGTTAAATCTTGCTTGTCAAATTTACCTATTTATCAGATGTCTCTGCTGAAAATGCCAGCAGGTATTATTAAGAAAATTGAAAAGATGATGCGGTGTTTTCTATGGGGGTCTTCTAAAGAGAATAGGAATTATTATTTGTTGAGATGAGATAGAGTGTGTACCCTTAAAAGTGAAGGAGGTCTTGGTATTTGAAGAGTATCTCAAATGAATGAGGCATTTCTAACAAAGTGGTGGTGGCGGAGTTTGTTGTGTAAGGATCAGCTTTGGTGTAAGGTCCTACTTGCGAAATATGGTAGTGACAGATTTGGAATGTGGATTGGAGGTGGCAGAAGGAGTGCATTTAGATATATTTTGTGGAAGGATATTTTCTTGTTCAAAACATACTTGCATAGAGATATTAGGTGGTGTGTGGCGAATGGTGCTAATGCTTCGTTTTGGCATAAAAATTGTTAGGGGATAGACCTTTGAAGTCTTCTTTCCCTGATCTATTTGCAAATGCCTCTTTTCCAAATACTTTGTTATATGAATCTTATTAGTTTGTTGGAGAGCATGAGGCATGGAATGTCTAGTTTCCTTATATAGAGGGAATGATTTTTTTATAGAGCATGTTTCGAGTTTATTTTTATCTCTACATGAGGTAGTACTGTGCGATTCTATTGAAGATGAAGTGATTTGGGAGCATAGTAAAGATGACCTCTTTTCGGTTAAAGGAATGTATTATCTCTTGTTTCACGATCGCCATAGATGGTTGCTGCCTCAAATTTCACAAATATGGAAGGAGCCTATTACCACAAAGTTCAATGCTTTATTTGGTTGGCAGGGCAAAATAAAGTTTTGACTGTGGATAATCTCATTAAACGAGGAAAAATGTTGCTAAATGTCTGCCTTATGTGTAAGAAGGATGGGGAGTCAATCTCGCATTTGCTATTCCATTATCGATATGCAACATACATTTGGAATCATTTCTTTGGGATTTTAGGTTTAATTACGACTCTTCCTCAAAGTGTTTTGGTCATCATTTCTCAACTAGTTTTTTTGGGTTTTCCAAAATGGGGGGCAAGGATTTGGAAAATAATGAAAGGAGTTGTATGCTGGGAGGTGTGGAAAGAATGGAATAGGCGTACTTTTGAAGGAGTTAATCTATCGTGTGATTGTCTGATTCAGCGTATTTTTCATACGATTTGGTGTTGGCAGTCTTTGATGGAGGAAGGGAGAGGTATTAGTGAGATTGATGTGAGAATTAATTTAGGTCATCTGATGGTCTTTAAGAGGGTAAAGACCCCCACTACAAGGCTGGTTAAAGTTATACTTTGATGGCAGCTCCCTCGGTAACATGGGAAGTGCAAGGATAGGAGGTGTGGTACATGGTTGGAATAGATCTATTGTTCTTGCCTATGCTGGACCTATCGGAATTACTATAGCCAATATGGTACAGTTTAGTGCCGTGCTCAAAGGACTACTCATTATTAAAGCCATGAATTTGGGTTATGATATTTTAGTTGAAGGTGACTCCCAAAATGTGATTCGGTGGTGCAACAAAGATCAACGAGTTCCTTGGCTGTTGCATTCGATTTGGGTCCAAGTGGTGAAACTGGAAGGAGAGTTATCTTTATCATTTCATCACGTCTATGGAGAATCGAATAGTCTTGCGGATGGTTTGGCTAAAAGACGTGTGGCTATGGAGTTATTTTCTATTTTGAATGATGTAATGAGTGAGTGATGTAACTGATTTTTAGTCATCATTAATAAGCGCTAACATTTGTCAAAAAAACAAAAAAGATTTTCAGGTATTTATAGATTGCACAATTCACACTAATTTTTTAGCTTTAAATTTTGTAATTAAAGATAAAAATAAATTTTCATGCATTTAAATTTTTTTCAGCACTACCTTGTAATAAAATTTAAAACTGATTTATTTTGATTGATTAATATCGACACCTTACCTATGCTATAAATATAAAAAGAAATACTATGGTATTCCATTCTGTCTATTTTGCTTGAACAATATAGATTTAGTAGGTCTTTTAAAACAATTTCAAAAAATGACATGTCTTTTAAGATAATACCAAATCTACAACGTCTAAATAAAAATGAAAATGTAGATTACTGCAACCTATATTCTACGAGTAAAAGTCGCAACTTTATTAAACTTTTCTTTTGCAAATATAAAATGTTTCCTTTATAAATATAGAAAAAATAAAAAATAAAAATCCTTCCCATTGAGAAGAATGCATTAGGCTCTCTTTGGTAATTGAGAAAACTGGAGAAAATGACATGTTTCCTCAATTATCAAATTTTTTCCAGTTTCGCAATAGAGAAAAGCATGGAAATGTGAAGCCCCATATTTCTCCATATTTTCACATTTTTCTCTATTTTGGGGAAAACTACAATATATTTCCTGCGACCTATTGTCGATTTTTCAAAAAAATAGGGAAATGTGTGAGACACCGCTCGACCCCCCTCTATTTCTCTAACTTCACAATCTCTTTTCCCTCTCAATCTCTCTTTACCCAATCTTTAATCCAAACCTTTTTTTTAAGTTTTGACCAATCGATCTAGAACGGTTAACCGGACATGGAGCTGGAAGTAGTTCATGATTAAACAAAGCACATCCAAATGAAGTTGAAATTTAAAAGAATTGATTTTAATGAATCGATTTGTGTCCAGGGGTATTTTTAAAATTGTTCAAAAATAGGAAAATATAAGAATAAGTATTAATGGCCAAAACAATATCCAATCATTTCCAAAATGATAAAAAACATTAAAAAGCATTATGAAAAAAATCATTTTTTTTTGGGATTTTATAGATTTTTTTGAATTTTTTTAAAAATACCCAGTCAGTTTAGCAAAACTCGCCAAAACCAGTAGTAGTTCCAATCTAATCGAGCAGTTAGGATTTGAATTGCCCAATTTTTTTCATACTAGTTTTCGCATACATATTAACAAAGAAGGGTTCTGAACCATGTAGAAAAATCGTACCGGAACGGTTAACTGGACATAAGGCTGCAAGCGGTTTAACCGGTCTAACAGTGCAAGTTCCGAGCAGTCAAAACATGTTTAAAAATAAAAAAATACAAAAAAAAAATGTAATAAAATATAAATAGTATACTTAAAACATGATTACACAAAGCACGTCCAAATAAAATTGAAAATTAATGAAAAAATAGATTTTAAATAATCCATTTGTGACACCAAGGGAATTTTTGAAATTTTCTAAAAAAGATATGAAAAATAAAAATAAGTACTAATGGCCAAAACTATTTTCAATCTTTGTCAGAATGATGAAAAACTTTAAAAAATAAATTACAAACATAATATCTTATTTTTTAGGTGTTATATAATTTTTAAAAATAATTGAAATATCTGACTAGTTCACCAAAACTGACCGAATCCGAAACCGGCCCGTTGCTTATGTTAGAATTTCAACTGCTCAGTTTTTCTAGATTTTTCCTACACTGGTTCTCAACTTTCTCGAGAGCCCAGCTTTTTTTTCTGCTTCAAATTTCTTCTAGATTCTCCAAAAAAATATATTGCTTTTTGGGAGTTTTAACAAACATACCCTGAAGCAGTGCCAACTTCGCTCGCTTTATGCAGCCGCTTGTTGGCCACATAATATGATTTGGTCACAGTGTTCACAAATTCGAACTGGAACGGTTAACCGGACTTTGGGCTCGGAGCAGTTGGAACCAGAACCAGCCTAACTGGTCAACTAGGTCGTTTTTTTTTTAATAGACCAAAAACCCTCAAAAAAAAAAAAATAGTAAAAATAGAAAATTTTTGGGCTCAGAGCGGTTAGAACCAGAACCAGACTAATCGGTCGAGCAGGTTTTTTTCTTTTTTCTTTTTTTTTTTTTGTTAAAAGGATCAAAAATGCTCAAAAAAAAAAAAAATAGTAGTAAAAATAGAAAAAGTTTGATTAAGTATATGATATCTTATTACATGCATTTATCTTTCAAAAAAAAAAAATTTAAACATCTTCTTCCATAAATAACTATGGTTCAGTACATGATCCCAAGAAGGCCACATAAATCTTTTTGTTTCCTTGAATCAGGTCTGACAATAATTTTTTCACACCTTACTACAAATGTAGGCATATGCTTATTACTAAAAAAATATAAGCACACATTTATATTTACACACTCCAGTTTCAAGTTTTACAACACTTCAAAATACTGCTAATCATAATTAGACACAATGGCAAAGAAATTGATCCACCAACTTTTACATGTCCATATAGAATTTTATAGGTAAAAGAAAAGATGTCACAAGGTAGAGAGGCCGATACATATAGGTTTGGCCATATTACTCAAAATAATATATTTATATCAAAATAAATAATTTTAATAAAAAATATTATTTATTAAGGAAAATAGGAAAAAATACTTCCCATATTCATAAAAAATAATCATTTTTATTAAGCAAAATAATTATTTTTTTTGAAAATTTGATTTCTAAAAAACTCCTAAAATCGAGCAACTTTGCAAGCAAGAAACAACTCTCAATGTTTAGATAATCGAACAAATCAACATACAAGCACGGTAAAGGCTTTGATCACCCATTCAAATATACCAAAATTCATAAAAAAAATTCAGTATTTTATTTAATTGAAAAATCATGAAAAATTTAGATCTGTGAAATCAAGCAAGAAAAAAATTCACATAAAAATAGTTAATCTATAATAAATAAGCATACATATTTTATATGATAGATGAAGCCTTAATGATCAAAATAGACAAATCAATTTGTTGAAAAAGGACAAAAAGCGATCCAAAATCTGTTTTTTTTTTTTATCGAACATAGGTTCTTCGAGCAGCAGCTTTTCGGGGCAAAATCAACCCCCCAATATTTTGTTTTTTAACCAAATTAAAATATGTATATGGTAGATGATTCTATTAGGGTTAAAGGCACTCAAATTTCAGCAAAATCCATTAGCTATTGAAGATGGTATCAATGAAATGGCGGAAATTTCAAAAGGCGTGAAATTCTTCCATTTCAATCCATAAAATCTCTTGATTTTTCAATCTTTGATTCCAATTTGCTTGTTCCAAAGACAATAAATAATGTTTTATGGCCATGAAGCATGAAAAACGCCCAAAAAGATAGAAAAAAGAATAAAAAAAAACAACAAAAAATCGATCGGTGAATTCTTCATCAAATAACGGCTTCGATTGAAAATAACAGGCGTTTATTTTAACTATGCCGTTATTTATCTATAAAACATGTTATATCCACTAACCGGTCCGGTTAGCAGCAAAACCAATCGGTTTGACCCAAAACACTGCTGGTTCGACCCCTGACCGGCCGGTTTTGCGCTTCAAATTTTATGAGGTTGTACCCTAGGTTAGGAGATCCCCAAAACCACACCTAACCAAACTCGAAACCCTAGCGGTTCTGAGCTAACTAGCCGGTTCCGGTTCTAATCTACCCGTCTTTCTATCAACGGTTTTAAAGCACTAATTACACCACAACGTGAAAGGATAGGGTCTATTAATAATCTGTCCAAGTAATTCATTGCTCATTGCACGGATCTCTGATTTGGTTTTCATAACACCGAAATAAGTAGTGGTTTTAAAACAGTAGTAGGGCATTGAGTCCAAGTGTTCTTTTCTACAGAGTCGACGTTGCGCAGGCTCTATTTTACGGTCCATTGGATTGTTTTGCCAGTTAGGTGAGTTGTAACAAATTAGAACTATCCTTGGAAAATGCTGCGGTTTTAAAAGTTATAACCATCCTCATAACATAACAGCCGCAAATATTATATTGGAAGTTATGGTTTTATTTTCTCTATGGTGCTCCCTCTAATATATTGGTTCATCTTTATTTTTATTTATTTTTATCCTGATCAGTTGCTATATTAAATTTCTAAATATTTTGAAGAGTGTTTTTTGGGGGCAGACTAAGTTCTATTCTTAAGGTTACTTGTCATAGTACGCAGTTGTGATGGTTCAACCATGAGAATGGAGCAGGGGTTGATAACAAAGAGTACGAGTCTTGGTGTCTCAAAATTGTGATAGTGGAAGGGGACCATGAGGGAAAAAAAGCTAGGCATTTCAACATGAAATAGTATCTGATAAAGCAAAAAACAAATATTAAATTTTATGCTATTTCTCATGCTATTGCAATTAACCCAAGACTTACATCTCTCTCTTGCTATGATTTGGAGGAGCTAAGAAAATTAAAAACATGTTTATAAAGGTCAATAATAATAACCATCATCATGTTTCCAATACAATGCACTTAAATGGAGTTCAAGATATTACCTTGAACAAGGCCTGCTACTTTAGGAGTACAGAGTATCGGCTTGAAGGAGAGAATAGCACAGGATGTATACAGACCATCCTCGGGATACTTCCTAAAAATTTTAAATTTCCTTACCCTGTTGTCATGGCTCCTTAAATCATAAAAATATAGTTCATAATTATATTTTGTGGTGTACGAGCTAATACTGCTGGTCATGAAGAGATAGTGATGATCTATAATAATATCACCATATCCATCCACCAACTCTTCGCAAAGGGTTAGCGTGGTCACCTCCTTCCAAACCTTGTTGGGCCTCAACTCGCATTGATTTGCTACCTTTCTAAGGTGATCTATAAGCCACACAAAGCTTCTCTTCCCACCCCAACAATCTAGCAGTATAGAAATCATCATCGTCTTTGTCTTGTTCATCGTTATTTTCTTTGTGTTCTTCAACTTTAGCTTGTAGATTAGAAGGTAAAT